TTTGATAGGGATATGTTATATAATTTAACTTTTCTTTAATATGACATACCTGCTTAATTTGTAAAATTCAAATTCAATTCAAAGCATAGTAATGTTAGTAGCATCAAAATAAACAATAGTATTTAAAATGCAGGTGTTCATCAACTTTGGTGTATTGTTGGGGTATATCTCGAACTTGGCTTTCTCTAAGCTCCCGCTGAATCTGGGGTGGCGATGCATGCTCGGTATCAGCGTTTTTCCGTCGGTGCTTTTAATCATCGTAGTTTTTATGATTCCAGAGTCGCCACATTGGCTTGTGATGCAAGGCCAAATCGGAAAGGCCAAGTGGGTTATCGACAAAACCTCAGACTCCTTGGAAGAGGCCGAACAAAGACTCGCCAATATCAAAGAAGTCGTCGGAATACCCACCGACTACTCCGACGACGTCGTTCCCTTTCAAGTCTCGCCACGTGGAAGCCACACAAAGGAAGTCTGGAAAGAGCTCTTCCTCCGCCCGACGCCGTCCGTTCGCCACATCTTGATCGCCGCCGTCGGACTCCATTTCTTCCAGCAAACCTCCGGCCTGGACGCCGTCTTCTCGTACAGCCCGATGATCTTTGAGATGGCCGGAATCAAATCCGACAGCGAGAAGCTACTCGCGTTGGTAGCCGTCGGATTCACCAAGATGGTCTTCATCTTAGTAGCCACGTTCTTACTGGATCGGATCGGACGGCGACTGTTGCTCCTCATTAGCGTCACTGGCAATATGATATCTCTCGCGGTATTGGGATTTGGCCTCATGGTAATCAACCGCCACTCGCACGTGGAGCTCACGTGGGCGGTAGGGCTGTGCATTGCGATGGTACTAGCCTACGTGGCGTTCTTCTCTATTGGAGTGGGCCCCATCACGTGGGTCTATTGCTCGGAGATTTTCCCGTTGAAGCTACGCGCCCAGGGAGCGAGTGCGGGAGTGATCGTAAACAGAGTGACGCATGGGGTGGTGTCAATGACATTGTTGTCCCTGTCCAATGCGATTACCATCAGCGGGGCGTTTTTCCTGTTTGCGGGGATAGCAGCGACTTCTTGTGTGTTCTTCTACGTCGTGTTTCCCGAGACGCAAGGAAGGACTTTGGAGRACATGGAGGGGCTTTTCGGTAATTTGGGGAGATTCCCRACAAAGAGGAATAGGGATAGAAACGACGTCGGAAATGGAAACGATGATGACAACGGTGGGATTCAATTGGAGAGAAATGAGCAGGTTTAAAAATAAAAAACGACACATGAAAAAATAGCAGAAAACTAATAGCTATTCGTAAAATGTGTAACCACATTTCAATTTTGTAAGAATTAAAAAAAAGTTCAATTTACTCTCCTATTTGACATATTTGTATTTAATATAAAGATAAATAGGTTATAACGATATACCTTGTATAAATGTTGATATACCTAATACGAGGTATATTAAGTTATATCAATAACTAATATATTAGTACATCAATAATTGATATGTCATTATGTTACTATATAAACTTGAGGTAAAATTGAAATAAGCAAAAATCTTAAATAAGAATTCAAATATTTTGCCATATGTACAAAATTCAAAACGGGTTGCATATGAGTAAATATGACAAAAAAAAATAAAAAATTATCCATTACAAATATTCAAATAAAAATGTTTAAATACTATTTTGGTCCATGTAGTTTTGCTTTTAGTTCATTTTGGTTCCTGTATTTTCAAAACATTTATGTTGGTCTCTATACTTTTAAAAAGTAACCACTTTATCAATATTTGTAAAATTTTAGCTACATGTCTATATTAAAAAAATTAGTGAGTGAAGTATCATGTTAAAATTATGATTGGAAGAATGAGATTAAAATAAAAAATGGTCACAAAGTTTATAGATCAAGATGAACAAAAGGCGAAATTACAAAGAATAAAATAAGCATTTGGAGGGTAGATGAACTAAAAGGAATTAAAATTGAAAAATAATATTTAAACCAAAAAAATTTAAGGCAAATTATTAAATTAAATCCCTTGTGTTAAATTTGTTAGTGGCATATGAAATAACAAGGTTTTGTTTTTAAGAAAAAGTTGAAAAGGAAGGAAGGAAAAAGAAATTAAACTCACATCGCCAGAAGAGAGATTATTCCTTGACCCTTCCTTCAAGGTGGGAAAAAAAGATTTTTCTTTTTCCCTTTTTCTTCTTTTTTTTTTAATGGAAAATTAAAATAATTTGTTTAATGATTATAGGTGTAAATTTTTAAAGTGAGGYGGAGGATTTTCAAACCCATGATTTCTTGGTCAAATACATGTGTTAATTATTGTTGAACTAAGTTTATATTGACAGTGTAAATTTTTTTTAGTACATTTGTAATGTAATTTTGATTATTTATTTATTTAATAGATAAAATTATCATATTGCAATATCTATTTTAACTTCTTATTATATTAGTTTTCTTAATGAGTGAGGTTAAATTACCATTTAACATAGATAAAAAAAAAAGCTATTTAACACAATTGTTGCTCCATTTTAATTTAGTTGGTATGATTTAATTAAATCTTCTCAAGTATTTATGTTACTCTTTTAGATATTAACAATTCCCTTATATGACACAAAACAAGATGATGAACTTTAAGTATTTACAAAACGAGCTGAAATCTTAATACATCCAAAATTTCGTCCCATCATCACTCATGTACAAAGAAAGGTTAATTTATTTCAAATATTTTTGTAGATTTATAAATCATAACTTTCCAAGGATATATATATACATTCCCCATTTTATTAAGGATATATATAATCAGAAAATTCAGTATCGATCGATGTGGTGTCCCAGCTAATATACTCTGACGCTCAAGTTAGTAATCAGAGTAGAGAAAATAGGAGTACGACTTTAGGGATTTCAGTGACAAATTTTTCACTTACCCGACAAAAATAGAGTCTTTCCTTTTTATAGCCATGAGCGACGACATTTGAGGTTGCAGAGGTGCGTCGAGTTGTACGAGGCCTTGGCGATGGGGTGTACGCCCCCAACAATCAATAGGTGGCGCCTCCACCCGCAGGCCTGTGACCTAAAGTCTGCGAGTGCCAGGTTGTAGTGCTCGACAATCTTTTTGCAGTACAGCAAAGGTGGTGACGCATTCGTCTGCCTGCACAACTATCTACGTTCTCATACCTTGTTGTCGTCTTCGCAGCCTGACACGCGTCTTGCTCGAATTTACCCTCAATCATATATATTTGGTGGATGAAAGACAAGAAGGAAATGAGTCCAAAATAGACTTTGGGAAAGGAAACAAAGAAAGGAAGTGTAACTATTGACCACACATGTTAATGTTGGACTTTTTTTTTTCTTGGTAACAAATGATGAAAAGGATGGAAGAAAATAAAGAGAGACGAAATTCTAACAATAAGAAAAGTCTTGTGGAGTAGTACACAACCTTTACTTTTGTTCCAAGTGGATTGGAGTGGGATATATTGTTAGGATTCTTAAATGATTCGTTGAATTGAATCACAAGATTAAATTCAAACTTCATTTATAATAATTAATGATTTTGGCCTTTTTAGTTAGATTCTGCGTTGTATAGTGTTGAAGCTTCCTATTCTAATTTCCTTCTAGTGACAACAAAAACAATAAGCATATGCAAATCCGATTAATTAGTCTTTATGTTCTTTTGTCTAGAAAAATAAAAAAATAAAAAATGATATTGAACCCACCTATTGATTAAACAAGTGTAAAATAAAGTTCAAACTATTATTGAAATTAAGGGTTCAAAGTTTGGGAAATTTTAACTAAAGGGTAAATACTATTGATAGATGTCAGATGGTTAAATACTATCTTACACAACCATCCGACTCCCCACTTCCACAATCGCTGAATTGGGGTCAATATTTATAGGACGTGCAAACTAGTCTAGTAATAATTCTCATCTTCCAACAGATATAAATATCAAAACTCAAACTCACTCTTTATACAAGTACGCGACATTATAATTCAGATTCCAAGGTTAATCATTATTTGGTCGAAACAATTTCAATTCTTAAATTTGTATAAAGATAATTTTAGACTAACTAGTTTTTATCMATTAATTTTCTTTTCACTCTTTTTTTCTTGAGAAGTCTTATCAATAGAATTTCAAAATATAAATTCTTTCCATCCATTTTCAATTCTTGTTTCTTGTTATTATTACGTTTACGAACCATTCATTTTAGTTTTGATATAGTTATGATATAGTTAGTCTTTGAAACATTATGATATAGTTAGTATTAAAAAGTTCTGACCATTTATAAAATTTTGTAAACAATAATAAAAATAGACCAAAACTAAAAATACCCCTATCCATTTGGGCGAATAATGAACTGAACCAACAACCAGAAATCAGAAAAAGGAACACTGTCACTGCAGATTTCAGAGCCTCAATTCCCCAAACCTTCTTTCTTTTACCCTCTCCAATCGTGTTCAGTTTCAGCTTCAGATTCCTATGGCTGATGGGGAACCCGAAACCCCGCCGGATTCCGCTCCTCCGACCACCCCCAAAAGGAATAACTACGCTTTCGTCTGCGCAACCATGGCTTCCATGGCCTCCGTCTTACTCGGCTACGGTCAGAATCACATCATTTTCTCATCCTCTTAATTTCTCCCCTAATTTTTCTCATTGCGGATTTCATCGGACTTTTACAGATATCGGTGTAATGAGCGGAGCCGTGATCTTCATCAAACAAGATTTCGGAATCTCCGACGTGAAGGTCGAAATCCTCGTCGGGATTATCAGCCTCTACTCCATTATAGGCGCGGCGGCCGCCGGCAGAACTTCCGACTGGATCGGCCGCCGTTACACCATGGCTCTTGCCGCCGCCTTCTTCTTCGTCGGAGCCGTTCTCATGGGCTTGGCTACCAACTATTCCTTTCTCATGTTCGGCCGATTCGTCGCCGGTATTGGTATCGGCTACGGCGGCCTCATTGCTTCCGTCTACACCGCCGAGATCTCTCCGGCGTCGTCTCGCGGCTGCCTCACCTCCTTCCCGGAGGTTCGTTTCCATCTATTTCACACCAATTTTTTCAAATAAAAACTAAATATACCTGAAATCAACCGCGTACGTTGTGAATTAAATTTATCCAATCATCAGCTTGAACTTTTGAGTTAACGATGATTGGTTGGTTTGTAAACAAATTAAACTGGTAGATTTTTAATTTGCAGGTTTTCATCAATTTCGGGATATTGTTGGGATACGTCTCGAATTTCGTCTTCTCCAAGCTCCCAACTCACCTGAGCTGGCGCTTTATGCTCGGAATCGGCGTAATCCCATCGGCGATCTTAGTCCTCGTTGTTCTAACAATGCCCGAATCGCCGCGTTGGCTTGTAATGCAAGGTCGAATCGGCGAAGCCAAGCGAGTCCTGGACAGAACCTCCATCTCCATTGAAGAATCTCAGCAAAGACTCGCCGATATCAAAATCGCCGCCGGAATTTCCCCTGATTGCACGGACGACGTCGTTCCTGTCCCGAACCGCAGCCGCCACGGCGAGAACGTCTTAAGAGAGCTCTTCCTCCACTCGACGCCGTCCGTCCGCCACATCTTAATCGCTGCCGTCGGACTCCATTTTTTCCAGCAAGCTTCCGGCGTCGACGCCGTCGTTTTGTACAGCCCTAGAATCTTCGAGAAGGCCGGAATCACCTCCTACGATCATATATTACTCGCCACCGTCGCGGTCGGAATCACCAAAACGGCGTTCATCTTAGTGGCGACGTTCCTCCTCGATCGGATCGGACGGCGGCCTTTGATCTTAACCAGCGTCGCCGGCAAGACGATATCACTCACGATCTTAGGGTTCAGTCTCACGATCATCAATAACTCGCACGTGGAAGTCACGTGGGCTATAGTTCTCTGCTTCGCGATGGTATTATCCGACGTGGCGTTTTTCTCGATCGGGATGGGGCCCATGGCGTCAGTTTATAGCTCTGAGATTTTTCCGTTGAGGCTACGCGCCCAGGGGGTGAGCGTGGGTATAATCGCCAATAGGATTACAAGTGGGGTTGTGACAATGACGTTTTTGTCCCTGTACCAGGCGATTACTATTGGCGGCGCGTTCTTCCTCTACGCGGGGATTGCGGCGGCGGGCTTCGTGTTCTTTTACGTGGTCTTCCCGGAGACGCGTGGTCGAAATTTGGAGGACGTGGAAGGGCTTTTTGGTAATTTGCTGTGGAAGTTGAAGAAAGATAAGAGTAGGAGTAAAAGAAGCATGAATGACGTGGATGGCTCATCCATTCAATTACAGGTTTAGGCGAAAGATGGAAATTATCCATTAGTCTTTTAAGTTTAAATTTTAAATTTTATATATAGTCTAATATCTGATATTATTAATGAAATATAGACGTAATATTTTAATTAAGTGGATCAACTCCAACTGTTCTTCAATTCGAAGATCTCGAAAGATTTTAGGTTCTTTTGTTTGATTTTTTTCGTTTTAGGCCATGGTCACTGCTGGTTTCGAGGAAGTATACGCCTCTCTTTTTGTATGAATTTCGAAGTGGTGGGTTTGGATGGGGTGGTTTCGTGAAAAAGAGGGGGAAAAATAGAACTAGCAGCGGCGCCTACGGTTAGAAGAGAAGGAGGAAAAAAAATAACTAATTCGGTTCAGGTCGGTTTTCTCGAAACCCAAACCGGCCCAAAACAATTACACCCGTACCAATTGAGTTTAGTTTTTAATTGGTTTTTTAGGTTTGAGATTGGTTTCTAATTGATCCCTAATTCAGTCCACCATTGATTTTGCTACTTCAGGATGAATTAAAAACTCAATTAATATATTTATGGACCAAACATGTCACTTTTGAAACTTCAAGTACCGAGTTGGAAATAAATTAAATCTTAGGAACAAAAAATGATGGTTTTTTAAACTCAATCACCAAACAGAGACTAAGTCCAAACCTTATAGACCAAGTAGAGACATGAGAATTCGTTGAAAAGACTATGGTCCTTGTATTAGGATCACAAATAGGTTCATCGTTTGTTTCATAATTGTAACGAACGAAGAAGGTTTCTTTTGTTCCTGGTCTTCTTTTTCTTACTTCATCAAGAAGTTAGTGATGGTGAACAAATAGCAATAGGCAAGTGATAGGCGACATCGAGTAAACAGCTGTTGGATTTGTAAAAGAGTGCAAACAAAGTCTCATATTGGTTAGGAAATGGAGTAATCTCTATTTGTATGAGGTCTTTTGGTAAAACAAAAAGCAAAGTCGTGAGGATTATGTCCAAAGAAGACAATATCATACTATTAGCAAAATACTTGCAATGTGAAACGGTAGTAGTAACGAAATTATTATTATTTTAAAATTTTAAAAACCCATCAGTTCTATTTTATTTTTAATATGCTAAGTCATTTTTATCTTAAGTTGACTAATGAAAACTTAACGTAAATTATCTAAATAAAATATTTATTAAACTTTAGATATGAATGTGTACGATTTTAAAATTTAGAGATTAAACACACCTATCACGTAAGTCTCAAGAGTCAAAATGATTATAATTCACTCTAAATTATATTTTAATCAACCAATAGAAATAAAATAAAATATTATCAAAAATAAATGAAGAAATAATGTAATTTTTGAATTATGAAAATAATAAATTTTGTGATAGAGAGGAGAGAGAAAGATAAGAGAGCTTCACTTGTCAACAAAGCTTGCAGTGGAGAAAGAAATATGTAAAATGGAAGTCACTCCTCTCCTTGAAATAGCAATGAGGTTTGGAATTTGAGCTAAAAGGAGTTGAAAACTCTCTGTCAAATTTCTGTCCGCTCCAACTTGGGAAAAATATCGAGATGCCAATTTTACGAAATGTTGAACGAAATATAGATAAAATATCAACGAAAAAAATCATAAAAATTAAGAAATTAATAAGTAAACCATTAACCATTTTAAAATAAATTAAAAAAGATTATTATTAATATTATGATTATGTTAGTAATATTTTATTAATATTTTTTCCATTTTGTCGACATTTTTCTATTATAAGAAATATAGATTCATTCCTTAGGTTGATGTCGAATCTATATACATATAAAAATTTTAATAATTTTAATATATCAATGAAAATTCAAGATGTTGCTGCCAACTCTTTTGACATGCCCACATCGAATCAGTTATGTAATGAAATTGAATGGGGGATTAAATAAATATAATTATCAAACCATATTCCATTTCATTTTTAGTGTTGGTTATGATCAAAAGCACTTATAGTTTATCTTTTTTTTTTTTAAATATACGTAATTTAATCTTTTTAGTACAATAATATGTGAGGATGAGAGTTTAAACATATGATCTTTTGATCGGAGATACATACTTTAACCAATAGAGTGATAGTTTAACTATTTATTTGCAGGGTAAGGTTAAAAAAAATTAAAAGAAATATCAAAATTATACGTTTGAAATTTACTTCTAAAAATAAGGGTATTCAAGAGTTAAGTTTATGGGAGATAAAGTGGGGTGGGGATTCAAACTCACAACCTTGTGATTGAGAGTACATGTCAATTAACGTTGAACTATTTCGCTTTAGCGATAATTTTTAAAATATTAATAATCTTTTTTAATATAAAAGACAACTACCCTCTATTTTTTTTTACTCCACCCAGGCACACGTGCAGTTGTCAAATTAATTAGAAAGAAAATGTGACATCGTTAATCAAATGACAAATTGATATAAAAAATTAAAACATGATATCAAAAATTCAAAATCAGATCTTATGAACTATTAAAATAAACACCAAAGCCAAATTTGATTGGCCTGACCCGATCCAATTTATCCACCCCAGTTTAGTAGACTTTTCTTTTTTCAATTTTTTACTTGCAAGCAAATATGGTTCAAACCAAAATAAATTAAAATATTAGTAAGAAGTTGAAAATTTCAAAAAATATTTATAAAAATATTAAATTACAAATTTAGTTTAACTAGTTTTATGCTAGATAAGTCGTTGAATTTTAACTTTCGATTTCAATTTCATGTCTAATAAATTTACAGAGGAGTGTTTTATAGATCTCTATTTTCAATTTTACAACCCATTCAACATTTTATAATAAAATTAAATTACAATTTCAAAAATTTATTAAATATAAATTTACCCTGAAAAAGAAAAAACAACTGTCTAAGCTTGAGCATTTTTACTAGTAGTCAAAGTATATAGGTTTTTATTTATTTATTTTTTATTTTTTATGAAGAGAGAGTATATAAGTTTGCATCTTATCCATTATTAAAGGGATAAAGGGATAAAGGGACGCCTTCTTTATAGTCCTCCGATGGCCTCTGTACTCCTCTACCAACTACACACCTTCTCCGGACAACCAAAAATGGACGGCCGGAAAGATAAAATTTCTGCAACTTCCGGCATCAAAATTCCCTTAATTCAATTACTTGATCGCGATCCTCCCCACAAGCCCAAGAGAAACATTTTTGCTTTCCTCTGCGCAATCATGGCTTCCATGGCTTCCGTCTTGAACGGCTACGGTGAGAAAACAAATCAACTACCAGATCTCGAATCTTCACCGGATCTGTTCTTCAATCTTCTTAATTTCTGGGAAATTTCTCGTTATTGAAACAGATATTGGTGTAATGAGTGGAGCAATAATCTACATCCAAGAGGACTTCAAAATCTCAGACGAAAAGGTGGAGATCCTCGTTGGGATTATCAGCATCTTCTCAATTATAGGCTCGGCGGCCGCCGGCAGAACCTCCGACTGGATCGGCCGCCGCTACACCATGGCTCTCGCCGCCGCCTTCTTGTTCGTCGGAGCCATTCTCATGGGGTTGGCTCCCAACTACGCCTTCCTCATGTTCGGCCGATTCTTCGCCGGCGTTGGCGTCGGATTCACCTCCTTGATCGCCTCCGTCTACACCGCCGAGGTTTCTCCGGCATCGTCTCGCGGCTGCCTCACCGCACTTCCAGAGGTCAGTTGTTCAATTAATTTTCAGGGGACACAAAATTTAATTCCGCCCTCGCAAAATTGAAGTCATTTTCGCCTAATTTTCAACTAATTTTCTTACAGTTGTTTATCAATTTCGGAATCTTATTGGGATACATTTCGAATTACGCATTCTCCAAGCTTCCGATTCATCTGGGGTGGCGATTTATGCTCGGAATCGGCTTCATTCCGTCGGTGTTATTGGCCGCCGTCGTGATTCTGATAATGCCGGAGTCGCCGCGGTGGCTGGTGATGCAGGGCCGAGTCGGCGAAGCCAAACAAGTCCTCAACAGAACCTCCGATTCCATCGAAGAATCTCACCAGCGCCTCGCCGATATCAAAAAAATCGTCGGAATTCCCGCGGATTGCCAAGACGACGTCGTTCAAATCCCAAAACAGAGCAGCCACGGCAGCGGCGTCTGGAAAGAGCTCTTCCTCCGCCCGACGCCAGCCGTCCGCCACATCTTTGTCGCCGCCGTCGGCCTCCATTTCTTCCACGAGGCCTCCGGCACGGAGAACGTCGTTTTGTACAGCCCCCGAATCTTCGAGAAGGCCGGAATCTCGTCCTCCGACCAGAAGCTTCTGGCGACGGTCGCCGTCGGGTTGACGAAGACGTTCTTCATCGCGATCGCCACCGTCCTTTTCGACCGGATCGGACGGCGGCCGTTGATTCTGACGAGCGTCGCCGGACAGACGATTTCGCTGCTTGTTTTAGGGGCGGGGCTCACGACTATTGAGCGCTCGCACGGAGGAGTCACGTGGGCGGTGGGGCTCTGCGTTGCGATGGTACTATCCGACGTGGCATTGTTCTCCATAGGGATGGGGCCCATGGCTTACGTCAGCTCAGAGATTTTTCCGTTGAAGCTACGCGCCGWAGGGGTGAGCGTGGGGATGATCGYGAATAGAKTTACGAGCGGGGTTGTKACAATGACGTTTTTGTCCCTGTACCGTGCGATWACCATTGGAGGCGTGTTCTTCCTCTACGCTGGGATTGCATCCGTCGGTTGGCTGTTTTTTTATGTGGTCTTTCCGGAGACGCGGGGAATGAATTTGGAGGATGTAGAGGGGCTTTTTGGTAATTTCAAGTGGAATTTCTCTGTAAAAAATGACGTCGAAAATGATAGTAGTGGCCATGTTCCACTTGAGGGCAATGGAAATGTGTAGGAATAATTTTCTTAGGAATAATTTTTTTTGAAAAGAGAAAACAATTCAAGAATTTTATTTTCTTTAATACCAATTTCTTTTATGCGATCTTCTCAACACACGAGGGCAAAATTTGGAGGACAATAAAGGACTTTTTGGTAATTTACTGTAGAAATTAAAGAAAAATAAGGGTAGAATCATGAACGACAAGGTGAGGTCGACTTGGTTCGACCCTCGCGGTCCTGCTAATGTCACTAGGTTGGTGTACCTTCCTTGACATCTTGACATGTGGTTGTCTATTTTTTCCCCTTTATAACATTATCATGCTGACATTTTATTAATGATATTAAATGAACACAATTATCAAGATTAATTACATCTAGTATTCATAATTAGTATAACATGTGGGGTGGGAGATCGAACTCACAGCATATTTATTTGAGATATATGTCAATCATCGTTGAGCTATACTCGTTTTGACTTTCTAATCTTCTATTTATTTGTCGGGTACGATAAAAATTATTTATATACCATTCTAAAAGTTAAAGGGAAAATTCCAATTCTTTTTTAATATATAAAACAAAGTAAGAAAGCAATTATCCACTCATTCTTTTCTTTTATAGCTGGTCGCGTTCACTTGTAGGCTTAAAACTTAGTTTGATTGAGAACGAGATCAAATTGAGGATCCTAATCGAGTCCCTAGCATGGGCATGAGCTTGGGGAGGTCTTTCCAGTTTAGTATTTTTATATTATTATATATAATAATATTAATATATATTAATTTTTATAAATACTTTTTTTTAAGCTCAAGCCCATTTAAGCTATTATGACTTTGAAGATGAACTATTTGTAATGTTACGTTAATTTTGTTAATTTTTTTTATTTATTTTAGATCGATGATTCAACTTTGAAGTTTGATAGTATTAAATATTTATTGGATTGAAAAACATTGTAATGGTATTTAATTAAAATTTACACTATTCCATAAAAGAAAAAGTTTTAAAGAATTAAACCCATTCCCGATCAGGTAATCACTGCCCAAAAATTCGGGAATAGGACGCGGATGAGAAAAAATCACTAAGGGGAAAAGATGCCCCCTCCCCCAGCCCCACCCTGTTGTAGCAGAAATTGCTTATCGCAAACGTACAAATCAAATTTTAATAAAAGTGGTAAGCCAATATCAATATTGATATCGTCCTCTGAATGAGGTTAGAGCTCAATCACGTACCACATATAAATGGTCAAAAAAAATCTCTCAAAATCTTATGTATCTCCATCGCCTTATTTTTATAAAAATGAATTGCAATTCATCCCCTCGAAGTCGTAAATGTCGAACATCTCTACAATTATTGTACTAAAACACTTGGACACATCAAATCCAATTGATCCATCTATAGAATTTGACCAATCCATTTCTTTCAAACCACATCTCCCAAAGCCTTTTGTTAACAAATTTGTAGCACTTATTTTCCACAAAGGACTTAATTGAAAGAGAATTAATACATCAAAAAATAAAATGTAAAAGATTAAGATTTCATTGATATATTTAGCTACAAAGTTTCAAAACAACAAAAACACCAAGAGTGAAGCTTGCATCTCATCATAGATGAAAGGATTACAATAATGGGCGCCCGGAATTGGAAAGATGACGGTTCTGCAACTTCCGGCCACAAAATTCCGTTCGAACTTGATCCTCCGGAGAAACCCAAGAGAAACAAATTTGCTTTCCTCTGTGCAATCATGGCTTCCATGGCCTCCGTCTTACTCGGTTACGGTAACAAAATTACCTCTACTAACTAATTTTCGACCTTTTTCTTTCATCTTCTTAATTTCTCCAAGCTTTTTGCTTTACTGAAAACAGATATAGGTGTAATGAGTGGAGCAGCAATCTTCATCAAAGATGACTTCAAAATCTCCGACGTCAAAGTCGAAATCCTCGTCGGAATCATCAACCTCTACTCCATCATCGGCGCCGCAGCCGCCGGCAGAACCTCCGACTGGGTCGGCCGCCGTTACACAATGGTTCTCGCCGCCGCCTTCTTCTTCGTCGGAGCCATTCACATGGGCCTCGCCCCCAATTACGCCTTCCTCATGTTCGGCCGATTCGTCGCCGGTATCGGCGTCGGATACGCCGCCTTGATCGCCTCCGTCTACACCGCCGAGGTCTCTCCGACGTCGTCTCGCGGCTGCCTCACTTCATTCCCCGAGGTCCGTCCGTAAAATCTATCCAATCCTCTGTTTCTTGCTTCTTTAAAACTGAAGAAATTTTTCGCCTAATTTTTCTACAGGTGTTCGTTAATTTCGGCATTTTACTGCGATATGTTTCGAATTACGCATTCTCCAAGCTCCCAATTCATCTGGGGTGGCGATTTATGCTCGGAATCGGCTTGATTCCATCGGTTTTCTTGGCCGCCGTCGTGATTCTGATAATGCCGGAGTCTCCACGGTGGCTGGTAATGCAAGGCCGAGT